TTTTTCTGACCAGAATCTATCTTAGACAGTCTATCATTTATCAGTGCCGTGAATATAGCTAACATATCTGGTTTCATGCTTTTATTTCATGACTAGATATTCTTGACAATATCCAAAAAAGAATCGGCAATTTTATCGTTCCTGATCTGCAATCTTGGCTTGAACCTCTTTCCCGCAACCACAAATGTAGTTTCCCTGTGCATCTTCTGTAATTACTTTCACGGTAATTGTTTTGATGAGCTTTCCTCTTTGGTCCCTTGTCATTTATGAATTTAAGTGCAGTACTAGATTGGCAGCTAGGTCTCATCATTTCATTTGTGAAACCGTAAGTTCTATGACAACAGATTCTTCTCTCATACTTACCATTTGTGGAACTGTCTACTGGCTTCTTTTATTTCAGTCAACTTCAAAAATTTAAATGCAGTGTCAAGAAGAAGAAGAAGAAGAGGAAGAAGAGGAGGAAGAGGAACAAAAGAAGAAGAAAAAGAAGAAGAAGAAGAATAGGAAGATGATGATGATGAGGTGGAGGTAGAAGAAGAAGAGGAGGAGGAGGAGGAAGAAGAAGAAGAAGAAGAAGAAGAAGGGTATAACAAAAGCAAGTAGAATATATTTGAAAAAAAAAAGAGTGAAGAAATCCATGGTGGATCTATAATCAATAAATGATTGCAAAGGTAAACATACACCGAGGAGAAAGAAAATCCAGAAACAGCAAAAGCTGAACACGCGTGATGAAAAGAGAAATAGACAGCAGAAGTAAGTAAAAGCAATTATCAGTTTAAAACCATTTTCTTCGTATGGCCTTCTCTCAAGACCTTTAGTTATCCGTATTCTGCAGACAAGATAATGGTAAGCAGATTTTCAGGAAGTCCATCGTAGAACAAAAATAAAATTAGCAACAAAACGAGTGAATTAAATCGAGGGGGGAAAAGGAAAAAATTAATGTAAAAACAAGTACCAACAAATGAAAACAAAATAAAGATGGCGAAGTTAGAAAAAATTGACGGAAAATAATGTTCAAATAAAAATGGCGAAGATTGTCCAAATTAGGGAAAACAAAAGAGAAAAAGAAAAAAAAATGTTGTAATTTGAATTTGTTACATAAATTGAGAACTTTGCTATTAGAAATCAGATCAATGAAAAATCTCCTAAACATTTTAACAGTGTGATTGGAAGAAATGAAGACTCCAGAAAGAGTTAATCTTTGCAATCCTAACGACATGATTCTTGGGCTCTGTGAAAATTGCTGATGAAAAAGATTGCTTATTTATGTTGAAAAGCTGTCCCTCGATCCTCAACAACAGCTAACAAATATATCCTTTCATTAGAACCTGCAAAAACTAATTAAAGGAGACGAACAAAAGAAACTGAAGAAAAAAAGGGTTCTACAGAGGACACGTGAAATGAAGAAAAGAAACAAAAGCATTTAAACCATTTAGATGATTTCGATTGGTAGATCTTGCAACATATCAACACGTTATTTAATGATGATCTTTTATGATACTTTAGTCAATAAGTAAATTTGATTGGTTTGTTTTACGGCATATCAATCTCAATGAGTTATTTAATGCCGACAAGATTTTATTGCTGGTAATATTTTTTTCAAAAAATGTTTTGCTGGTAATACTATTTCTCTTAAAAATGCATTGCTGCTAATATTTTTCCTTCAAAAATGTATTGCTGGTAATATTTATTGTCTTCAAAAATGTATTGCTGGTAACACCATTTTTCTTTAAAAAATGTATTGCTGGTATTAAAACCTATTTTTACACTTTCATAATGTTTTAACCCCAGTTTGGGGGTTAACTATTTGCCCATAGTTGGGACCCTAACAGGTGCTACAACCCCGGGTCAGGGTCTACCTGGGAACACCAGCAATTAAGAGGTGGTTACACGCTCCTCAAAACCTCCTGATCAGAGGCCTTGCTGTTGGACGTAGTTTATCGTCTTACCCAGGACGCCAATAAGTGAACATTTCTTGCGTTTATACTTGAGTGTCTACGCAAACATAGTTTACACTTGAGTCTATTGGTAAACATTGGTCGGGTTTATACGTGTGTCTCTGGGTAAAAATAGATCAAGTTTATTCTATAGGCAAATATTATTCATACTTGTGTCTAAAGGCAAACATGGATGTGTTCAGACTTAAGTTTATAGGGAAACATTGTTCATGTTTATACTTAAATGTATAGACAAGCATAGCTTGTTCATCCCCGAGTCCGTAAGCATTCAACCAATAGGGGTCCATTTCTTTTCTTTTGGTGGAGCGGCTACCCTCTTTAGAGGATACAAATTCAATCAGTGTATTCTGGGCGTTGCCGAGAGGACAGGTGTAACAATGAATTTCATCAAAGATTAAATAAACATGGGGGCAAAACATCTAATGTTGGCTGTGCTGAGATATAAAATGAAAGATTAAAGTATAAAAAAAGAATACAGTAAATTAATTAAAACGTCTGATGATTGGATAGGAACTGCGGTTCTTTGGGAACTGTGCAAATGAATCAGCTTTAATAATACCGATTTTTGTTTTGTTTTATATATTCATAAGCCAGGCGGGAAGCCAAAAAAAGGAATATTTTTTCAAACATTGCAGTCCAAATGAATCCAAATGGTTCACTCATTCCAGGCTAGAATAGAAAAAAACAAAGTTTGGATAAGAGGCGGGGTCTAAATCTGATGCTAAATGTCTGTGTTTAGTGAAGGATAGGGTTAGATAGATAGATAGATAGATAGATAGATAGATAGATAGATAGATAGATATGAATAGACTGAAATAGATTGCTAGCTAGCTAGCTGGAGAGATAGATAATGAACGGACGGAGATAGATAGATAGATAGATAGATAGATAGATAGATAGATAGATATGAATAAACTGATATAGCTAGCTAAACAGATAGCTAGCTAGCTAGATAGATAATGAACGGACTGAAATAGATAGATAGGAATAGACTGAAGTAGATAGATAGATAGATAGATAGATAGATAGATAGATAGATATGAACAGACTGAGATAGATAGATAGATAGATAGATAGATAGATAGATAGATAGATAGATATGAACAGACTGATATAGACAGATATGAACAGACTGAAATAGATAGATAGATAGATAGATAGATAGATAGATATGAACAGACTGAAATAGATAGATGTAAAAATACTGAGATAGATAGATAGATAGATAGATAGATAGATAGATAAAATACTGAGATAGATGGATAGATAGATAAAAAAGATAGAACAGATAGATAGATAGATAGATAGATAGATAGATAGATAGATATGAAGAGACTGAGATAGATAGAAAGATATATACGAACAGAAACAGATAGATGGATACGAACAGACTGAGAGACATAAATAGATACGAACAGATAGATAGATAGATAGATAGATAGATAGATAGATAGATAGATAGGTATGAACGGATTGAAATAGATCGATATGAATAGACTGAAGAATATATATATATATATATATATATATATATATATATATATATATATATATAGATAGATAGATAGATAGATAGATATGAATAGACTGAAATAGCTAGCTAGATAGATAGATAGATAATGAACGGACTGAAATAGATAGATATGAATAGACTGAAGTAGATAGATAGATAGATAGATAGATAGATAGATAGATAGATAGATATGAACAGAATGAAACGGGAAGTCCCGTAAAATTCCTTTATTTCTTACGTATGCTTATCTGCACGTAAACTTGAATATCTTACTTTTTTCTTTTTTTTCCCTTTGTCCCTCCCTCTGTAGCCCCTCCTCTCTCCCTCTCTCTTTCTCTCTCTTTCTCTCTCTCTCTTACACATACACACACACATTTTCCTTTTCGGTATTGATCAAATTATCCTCCACTTACTACTTCTTCTTCTTCTTCTTCTTCTTCTTCTTCTTCTTCTTCTTCTTCTTCTTCTTCTTCCACCATAACCACCCCCCTACATTCACTTCTTCCAACCGCAGCGGAAGCTGAAAGTACAAGCAAATCCCACAAGAAGTTTCAAAGGAAATTAAATCGAAGAAAAAGTTCAAAAACATAAAACAGCCGCTTTCAATCCACCCGACTTCTGCGTCCAGGTACTCTACCCTCTTCTTTCTTTATGATTCCCTCTTCCTAGACTTGCTATTCTTTCTACCCGTTTATATAATCAAGTGAACGTTCCTCATCCCTCAGCCGACTGACCTTTTTCCCCACCCTGCTGTCATCACCTGTGCCACCCATGATCCTGATCTAAAGGTGTGTCTGTTTACATGAAGATATACAACAGTAAAATCTTTTATCTTGCTCTTTCAAATATACTAACGTCTTATAATAACTTTCACTGTTAATCAAGAGACAATAAGTCTCCTCAGAACTACAGGACTTTCCTCAGTCTTCCAGCATCTCTATTGCCAGAATGATTTTATATATTCTATTCTCTTTGCCAGGTTCCTTTGTACTGTCTCATGTATTTCAATAATTCTGGATTCCATTGTTATTACCGTCTTTTGCAAGGTTCAAATACTTTTCCAGCTTTTTGTTTTAATTTTAATCTTTCATCTACAGGCAAAAGGACATCAACTTGCTGGCAAACATTTTTTCTTCATGTTTACGATGACAAAATCCTGTTTTATAATTTGGATTAAATGATCCCTTTTGAAATTTAAATTCATATTTCTTTTTTTGCTAAGAATAATTCTGACATGTCTGTATGGTGAAATCCTGATTATTTGCACAATTCCGAGTGGACAACCAATCCACCCAGTCATACCCCTTTTGTACACTATGGTTGTAGTCGCTTGATGTGATTGACTGATTCATCTTCACATAGATGATATTCACCAATCATTTCTATCGCAACTGCTTCTACTGTGCTGCCATTAAAAAATATTACGTTTCGTTTTTCAAGTGTCCTCTTCGCAGCCTTGCCCTAGTCATTCTGTCTGCTTTTTTCTTTCCCTTTTTTATGCTCCTCCCTTATCTTTTAACATAAAATATATCAACGCCTTTGTATTTCTCTTTCTTTATATTTAATTGTCATTCTCTGTACATTATTGCCTTCTGTCTACAAATTCGTAATTATCTTATCACTCAATAGTAGAATAAAATTTGTCGTTTGACTTACGCAGGTAATCATTTCGTTTATTGAAATCCATGCTGAAATTGTAAAACTCTAATGGGACATAAAATGAATTGAAATCAAGAACATTGTCGCTGGATTTCCCCTAAACCTTCAGCATAAGATAACGCGCCTTAAGAAATATTCAGCCTTTGGCTCTCACTGCTTTAGGTCAGCCCATCCGTCTTGTGATATGTCCACCCATTACTATGTAGTGGACACTTTTTGTGATGTCGTAGACTTCTATTCTGTTGGACTTGATAAATAAGAGACTGTAATTATTCATTGGTGTTATAGATTGTAATTTTATGTGTTTATAATTTTATGTGTTTATAATTCTGTGTTTATAATTCTATGTGTTTATAATTTTATGTGTTTATAATTCTATGTGTTTATAATTATATGCGTTTATAATTTTATGTGTTTTTAATTCTATATGTTTATAAATTTAGGTGTTTATAATTGTATGTGTTTATAATTCTATGTGTTTATAATTTTATGTGTTCATAAATTTATGTTTATAATTCTATGTGTTTATAAGTTTAGGTGTTTATAATTCTATGTGTTTATAGTTTTATGTGTTTATAATTTTATGTGTTTCTAATTCTATGTGTTTATAATTTTATGTGTTTATAATTTTATGTGTTTATAATTCTATGTGTTTATAATTTTTTGTGTTCATAAATTTATGTTTATAATTCTATGTGTTTATAATTTTATGTGTTTATAATTCCATGTGTTTATAATTATATGTGTTTATAATTTTATGTGTTTTTAATTCTATGTGTTTATAAATTTAGGTGTTTATAATTTTATGTGTTTATAATTCTATGTGTTTATAATTTTATGTGTTCATAATTTTATGTTTATAATTCTATGTGTTTATAATTTTAGTTGTTTATAATTCTATGTTTATAGTTTTATGTGTTTATAATTCTATGTGTTTATAATTTTATGTGTTTATAATTCTATGTGTTTATAATTTTATGTGTTTATAATTTTTTGTGTTTATAATTTTGTATTTATAGTTTTGTGTTTATAATTTTATGTGACTGTAATTTTATGTGTTTAATACTGAGAATGAATTGACGATAGGCAAGAAAATACTGGACAACGTAAAGCGGCAAATTTTCGTTATTCTTTATTTCTCTGATAATCAAGATATTTTCAAGACAATCATAATTATTTATTTTTCGTTTTCTTTCTTCATTTTTATATCATGAAACTGTATTTTGAGTTTACATTGAAATAAATTTTGATTGCTCGACAAAAATTATTTATTGAACATGGCGAAGCATCATCTGAACTCGAATGCCAGAAAACAATTTTGGAGGGCAGGATCATCCAATAACAGGAGTTTGGGCTTGCAATATTTGTCAATTTGAGCTTAAAGAAAATGAAGAAAAAATCCCTTTTTTTCTGTAGTTTATCATATAATATTGTTCCGCACTGAGTGCCATTGGTCGAAACGTGGATGCAATAAAAGAGAAATTATGAAAATGACAAAAGAACAGAAAGAAATTTGACAAATCGTAATTAGAAAGAAAGAAGAAAGCAACAAACAAAAATATTCAATTGGCAGAAATTGACAGAAAAAAAGCAACGAATAAAAAAATTGACAAGATAAAACAGAAAGACGGCAAATTGACAGAAGGAAAAGAAAAGAACAAATAGCCATACGAGGAAACAAAATTGACAGACAAAAAGCAGAAAGGAATGTGGCAGAAAGAAAAAAAAAGAAAGAATTGACAAATGATAATTAGAAAGAAAACAAAGTAAGAAACAAATAAATAAACGAACAACCAAAAATAAGAAACAAAGAAAAGAAACAAAGAAAAACAATGAAAACAATGAAAAGAAACAAAGAAAAGAAACAAAGAAAAGAAACAAAGAAAAAACAATGAAAAGAAACAATGAAAAGAAACAATGAAAAGAAAGGAAACAAAACAAAATTATAGAAAGAAAGAAAACAGAAAAAGAATGAATAACTGAAGGAGTGAAAAGAGCGCCAATAGTTAAAAGAGAAAAATTCAGAAAAGAAAAGTCGTTTCTATGGAAGGGCAGAGAGACAGATTCATCTCGACTCTTTCGAACTTAACGGAATGAGCACTGGTAATCAGCGGATGGAAGTAGTTTATTACACTATCCAGTTCTTCATTGATACTAAAGCGCCATATCCGCTGGGCATCTCAGACCGGAAATTGGCGAACTGATACAACTTCCGTTCATAGCGATAATTCATCTTTTGATAGTTTGAGGATATAGAGCAACAAAGACTATCCATCTTTCAATTCGCATTTTAATATACAACTGTCCAAGTGCAGTTGTTAGCGAATTAGACAAACAAACGTTGGTTATCGAGGTCAATCCTTACGGAACATTCAACTAAAACTGTCTTGTCAAATTATACGCATATATTCGTGTTTGCGTTTTATGCATATGATAGCCATTTTTCGGTTCCATGTGTATAGACTGCATGCGATCACACTATTCCACAATTTTATTATTTTGTACTAAGAATATGGTCTTCAAACACAGCCAGGAGCCACACACTGCCACGTTGTTCGTAACATACAGAGAGTATTTTCTCAATGTCTTTCTTTAATAGCAGACAGAAATATAAAATATTTTATATTTAAGTGGTAAATAACTGGTCCAATGAAGTATATATGACCTTATGCATAGAGTGACAGGTGAAAATTTCATTGAAAAGTCTTTCTATGACATTTTAAAGGAGAAATAGAATAAATAATTTAATCTAAGTTATAGTGTACCAAAGTCCCGTGGAACCCACGTCCTGATGCGCTTGACTCTTTAGCAAGTATTTTTTTTTTTTTTTTGAGATGTGGAGTTGCTAGCCGCACGCCGAACCATTTTTAAATTTAGAGTTTCTTACTCTTAGGTTGGTTGCCAAATATGGCTAAAGAACCCAACCTATGCTATTATGAACCTCTTGCTGATGAGAATAGAAGGGTTAGTTACCTTTCTTAATTGGTATTTCTATGAAAGCATTTAGTTAAATAATTAAAACAAAAACTGGAAGTATTCCTAAAAAGGGTCGGTGCGTTCTACCCACTTTCGACCAGGGCAGTGCTTTAGGATCCTAAATCTCTTATCAACATTTGCTTTTTTTCTACCTATATTTATATACGTTACAAATTAATCACAACTGATTATTAAAAGATGAAAATAGTTCGCAGATTTTGAGGTCACTGGTGGGGGGGGGGGCGTGAATTTGTTTTGCTCGAAAAAATACGATATAAAATTCACTATTTTTTTTTCTCCATAATGTTGAATGTGTTAAAATTATTCAACTTTTAAGAAAAAAAATCTTAAGTTAATGTTAAAAATTGTCGCAAAACATTGTTGATTTATTTAAGATAGAATGATCTATTATGAAAGGTTTCTTATTTGCATTTAGATACAATGTATTTATTTACAATTTTTTAAAAACCTACATTAAATATGGTCCATTATTGTACGTAATTAGGTTACAATAAAATTTCTATTTTATATAAATATAACTTTATGTAAATTGAGATGTTTCGATAAGAAACGCTTATACCAGCCCTATTTGTAAAAAGGAACTTGAAATATAAGAATCCACAACACAAAGAATAAATTCTGTCTATATTTCTGAGATGAGGTATTATGTACACTATTTACATTATTCGGACTATTGTCCTCATCTTTGCCGCCATATTTAACACAACGTTTCGGCCGTTGTACGCTCTGGCCTTCTTCAGGTAGTTGGAATGTCGAACTAAACCCTTTATTTCGCTCACTGGAATAGACTGTTCTAGTTCCCCGTGCCATGTCTACTGGTTGTCAGTTATCAGTTATCTCCAGTCAATTCCTCTTTCCAAGTTCTCCACCGCCTTAATCAGGTATTGAACTCACACTCTTTGGGTCCTGTCACTGACGCCTTTATCTACTATGCCATGTGTCCTTGATGGCACAGTGGATAAAGGTGTTAGTTAGATCCAGTGACAGGACCCAAAGAGTGTGAGTTCAATATCCAGTTAAGGCAATGGAGAACTTTCAGAGGGAAACAGATGGACAGTTGAATGGGTATAATCTATCCACGTAGAGTAAATATAGGTTTCAGCACTAAATTCCCTGA